CCCCCGCCGCAAACCACAACCAGAGGAACTACGTCTCTCACACACCCTCCCCCCCCTCTCCTCCCATCTCCCCTCCCTCCTCCTCTCCCCTCCTCCCCCTCTCTCCTCTCCCTCCCCAAATCCCCCCCACCCCCACTCCATCTCCCCCCTCCCCTTCCCTCCTCCCTCCCCCCCCTCCGCCCCTCCCTCTGGAGTGTGGCCAGGGCATGGAGCATTTAGGGTGCCGCAGGAGCTCCACGTAGCTCAGTCCTACACCAGAAGGAGGCGTTTTGTGCACCGCTCGAAAAAGCCGCCGCGAGAGAGAAACGCTTGCGGTGTGTGTGCGTCTGTATGTGCGGGTTTTCCGCGTGTGGACTGATGCGCGTGTGTGTGTGTGGGGGGGGGGAGCTGTGTGTGTGTGTTCTGTGCAGAGCGTGTGGTGTGAGCGTGTGTGTGTGTGGGGGGGGACTGTGTGGTTCTGTGAGCGTGTGTGTGAGCGTGTGTGTGTGTGCGGTGTGGTGTGACTGTGAGCGTGTGTGTGAGCCTGTGTGGTTTCTGCCGAGCGTGTGTGTTGAGTCTGTGTCCGTGTTTTGTCTGTCTGTGTGTGAGTCTGTGTGTGTTTGTCTATCTATGTGTGAGTCTGGTGGTCTATTTTGTCCCTTTGTCTGTCTGTGTGTGTCTGTGCGTGTGTTTTGTCTATTTATGTCCGAGTCTGTGTGTCGCCTGTCTGTATGGTTCGTATGTGCGTCCGTGTTTGCGTGTGCGTGTGTGTGTGCGTGTTCGTGTGCGTCCGTCGAGAGATTCAGCCGAGAGTCGTCAACGGGATCGGGGAAATCTTGCGCCCGTGTTGTGTTTCCGCGAAGCAAGTCGTCTTGGTTACGAGCTTGATTCGGATCGTCGTTTCGTGTTGAGTGGATCAGAGGCGAGAGAATGAACACGAAGATAAACAGAAGGAGAAAAGGAGGAATAGAAAGAGGAGTGAAGGAGGAGAAAAGGAAGAATAGAAAGAGGAGAGAAGGAGGAGAAAATGGAAGAGAAAAGGAAGAATAGAAAAAGAAGAACAAAGAAGGAGAACAAAGATGACTTAAGAAAACGGAAGGAAAGAGAGAAGATGAATGAAGAAAATAAAAGAAAGAAGATTAGTGGGTTTTCAAGAAAAGAAAATATAGAACGAGAAAAAAAAAATAAAAAAAACAGAATTATGAAAAAAGTGAAACAAGAACTAAACGATAGTGAATAAGATAAATCGAAAGAAATAAAAGACGAGAAAAATGTAGACGTGTCCGTTAACAAAAGAAAAAGTGACAAAGAAGATTTTTTAGAAGAATGAGTGTATGGATGCGTCTTTAATTGAAGAAGTGAACGTGTTTTGTGTGTGAAGTGTGTGTGTGTGTGTGTGTGTGTGTGTGTGTGTGTGTGTGTGTGTGTGTGTGTGTGTGTGTGTGTGTGTGTGTGTGTGTGTGTGTGTGTGTGTGTGTGTGTGTGTGATCGTGTGTGTGTGTGTGTGTGTGTAGTGAGAGAGAGAGAGAGAGAAGAGAGAGTGAGAGAGTGTGAGAAAGGGACGGAGAGAGAGAGATAAGAGAAAAGATAGCGTAGATAGATAGATAGATAGATGGAGAGATAGAGAGAGAGAGATTGTATCTGAAGCAATAGAGTAGACAGAATACAGAGCAGTGTTCTAAATCATACTATTTTATTTTTCCCGCGCGCTTCTGGCCATAAAGTGCGTAGGCCTATATAAACTCTGAAAGTGGATTTATCTTTAGGCCTATTTCACGTGGCATTTCGTCTGTGTCAGTTATATATATATTTGTATTTACATTTATATGCTTATCATATTATCTTACAGGCAAAAAAAACTATATTTAAAGTACAAAAAACGACTTTTTTCTACCTAAACATGAGAACTTAACTTTGAAAAGTGAAATAAACAATAACAAAAAAAAGTACAAAACGAAACGATATAATATATATATACAAAACTGACCAAATAATTTCCAAAAAGAAAGAGCGAAAGAAAACTCGAAACGTTCGAATAAATACGCAAGTGACCCCTTCCAAGGAATCACAGAAAACGGGTACGAAAAGGCATAGAAAATGGAAGCTGTTGTGATCACTGACGGCAACATGGCGTCGAGTTGTCCGGGCAAGAAGGGCGGCATGTTGGAGAAGATAAAAGATGCCCTGCTTATCACGACACTCAACAACAACAAACAACAACAACAACGACGAACAACACGAGATGGTCCCGTAATGCCAAATGAAAATGATGTTGTCGTATGACTCTTTACCTCAAGATATATGGGTAAGTTCGTGTCTTTTTCTTTTAGCTTTGTCATGATACGTATATAGACAATGGAGATAAGTATGAACGCACAAACACACACACACACACACACACACACACACACACACACACACACACACACACACACACACACACACACACACACACACACCACCACGACCCCCCACACACACCCACACACACACACACACACACAACACACAACACACACACACACACACACACTACACACACACACACACACAACAGGCAACACGCACACACACACACACACACACCACACACAGGACACACCACCCACCACCCACCCCCCACTCCACACACATCACCACACCCACACACACACACACACACAATACACACACACACCACACACACACAACCACACACACACACACACACACACACACCCACCACCACACACACACACCCCCCCTCGGCAACCTGGCGGCGTTTCGAGAACTATTCAAAATGGCGACCGAGATTCTTAATTGGATATTGTGCATTTTTAATTACGGTTTAATTATCCTACATTTCAGATACGCTTTTTAAAACGCTAATGCAATATTTTATCTAAATTAAATGTTCGTGCTATGTCACTCAAGTTTTTTGTTTATATTCTCAGAATCCTTTTGAAAATGTCTCCTTAAAAACGTCCAGAATTCCCAAAGTATATTCAGTTTGGCGGTTTATTTATTTATTTTTCTTTTTATTCTATTTCATATTTTTTTTCAAATTCGAAAAAATAATCAGAAAACATGAGAGAACAGTTTGGAAACGTTAATCCGAAGTCAATGTTACAGGAATTCGGACAATGCCACAAATTTGGGTTAATATTCCCTCGAATTTTAAAGTTTTCGAATTGTTTCACGTGTTCGGATGTGTCGGTTGGGAAGTTTTTGTACATATAGACACACACATACATGCAAACGCAAGCACGCATGCAAACACACACACACACACACACACACACACACACACACACACACACACACACACACACACACACACACACACCACACACACACACACACACACACACACACACACACACACACACACACACATTTAAATGATTTATAGATCGATAGACAACTAGATGGATAAAAAAATATATAGTTAGATATATAGATAGACAGACAAACCGATAGATAGACATATAGGTTAAGCGTTACATACGAGAAATTACGTAACACAAATATTCATAATTTAAACCTCCATGAATATGATTTCGAAACAAGTCATTCTGGGAATATATATGAAAAAAAAACTTTGTCCTTCACCTCGATATGCATCTGATTACGTATGCACGCGCGGGATAAACACGAGAGAGAGTGCGCAAATCTCTCGAATTTCGGCGGGATACGAGCGGGAATCATGGCGGAGTCTCGCGAAAATCTCGCCGAGTCTCGCGGCCGATCACGGGATCACGGGCGGTCGTCGGCGAAGGAGACAAGGCGGGTCCTTGGCAAAAGGATCGGGGAATTAGGTGGATTTTTGATGAATAGGGAAGGAGGGATGGGGAGAGAGAGGGAGGGAGGAGGGAGAGGGAGGAAGACGGGAATAGGAAAGGGGGGAGGGAGGGAGAAAGTATACAAAATAATAGATAAATAAATGAATAACTATGTATATACATGTATATTATATATATATATAATATATATATAATATATATGTAATATATAAGTATAGTTATATACATATATATGGCCATCACGATCGTGACTCAGTCGTTGGAACTATGCTGATTCAATNTCTCCTCTCTCTCTCTCTCTCTCTCCTCTTCTCTCTCTCTCTCTCCTCTCTCTCTTCTGGTGTGGTGTGTGTGTGCCCTGTTTCTGTTCTGTCTGTCTGTCTGTCTTCTGTCTGTCTGTTCTCTCCTCTCTCTCTTCTCTCTTCTTCCTCTCTAATCTTCTTCTCCTCACTTTCTCCCCCTCTCCTCACCCCTCTGTCTCTCTCTCTCTCTCTCTCTCTCTCTCTCCTTTTTCTTTCTCTCTCTCTCTCCTCTCTCTCTTCTCTCTTCTCTCTCTCTTCTCTTCTCTTCTCATTCTCTCCCTCCTCCTTCTCTTCTCTCATCCTCTTCTCTCTGTGTGTGATCGTGTGTGTGTGTGTGTGGTGTGTGTGTGTGTGGTGTGGTGTGTGTGTGTGTGCCTGGTCTGTCTTTTGTCATCTCTTGTGGTGGGTGAAATTCGGTGTGTTATTACAGTTTTTTTAGACTGTTGTGGTGGGTTTATCGTGTGTTGTTCTGTTTTTATTGTCTAGTTTAAAGATGGGTTGTGGGGTCTCCTTCCTTTTCTCTCTCTTTTTCCTCTCTCTCTCTCCCTCTCATTTCTCTTCTCTCTCTCTCTTCCTCTCTCTTCTCTCTCTCCTCTCTCTCTTCCTTCCTCTCTCCTCTCTCTCTCCTCTCTCTCTCTCCAGCAAAATTTAGAACATGCAGAATAAAAAAATAGTAGACCAGAATGTATTTTTATCAATCCAAAAAATAACAGTGACATCTGAATACCAAATCCAATTATGAACACTGCCAAGAAAACCAGTTGAAAACGTGTTTCTAGTAATGTAACTACAGCCCCCTTTCCCCTCACCCCCCCTCCCCCCCCCCCTCCCCTCACCCCCATATTTTTCTTCTCCTAACTTTCTCCCACCCTTCCCGGGCCCCTTTCCTAACCCCTCTCCTGTAACTCTCCTTCTTTCCTATCTCTACTCCCCTCCCTCCTCCCCCTCTCTCTTCTGCGTTCCTCTTCCCCTCCCCATCCCTCCCTTTCTTCCTCCCCTCCCCATCCTCCCTTCTTCCCTCTCCGCTCTCTCCCTTCCTCTTCCTCCCCTCCCCCTCTCCCCCTCCCTCGTCCCCTCACCCCTCTAAACTCCCCCTCCACTCCCCCTTCCTACCCCTCCCCTGTCCCCTCTCTTCTTCCTACTCCTACTCCCTTCCTCCCTCCCTCTTCGTTCTCCCTCCCCATCCCTCTTCCCCCTCCCCATCCCTCCCCTCCCCTCCCTCCCTTTCTTCCCTCCCCCTCTCCCCCTTTCCTCCCTCCCCCTCCCCCTCCTACATCTCGACCTTAAAAAAACTTGTTCAAATTTAACCGATCATGATGTCATTGTCTTTGTTTTCTTTTTTTTTTATTCTTCTTTCTCTTTTATATGTCATGTTTTTGTTTGTTTGTATTTGTTATTACGGTCATTTTCGTATTTTTTGTAACCGTTATTAATGGTCGTCATTAAAGTCATCAATTGTTTCATGTTATCCTCATCATCGTCGTTATCATAATCTGTATTATTTCTAACATTAGCGTTTATCATTGTTCTCGTAATTAAGAACACATCATGTCATTATCATTAGGATTATCATTGCCATTATCATCATTATTATTATCATTGTTATTATATTCATTATCATTGACATTCTTATCAACATTATCATTAGCATTGCAATTATCTTTATCATCATTATTATCATTATCATTATCATCATTATTATCATTATCATTATCATCATTATTTTTATTATCACTATCATTATTATCATCATTATAATTATTACTGCTATCATTATCATTACCATTATTATTGTCGTTATCATTATTATTGTTATTATTATGATAATTATTATCATCGTTATCATCATCATCATTATCATTATAATGATTACCATTATTATCATTATATTTATTGTTATCCATCATTACAATAATAATTATTGTCATTATCATCATCATCATTAGCACAATAATTATTATCATAATTGACATTGAAATAGATATTAGCATCATTATTGCTTCCATTTCCGTAACTATATTATCAATACCCCCATTATCATCATCATTACCATCATCATTACCATCATCATATTTTTAATCTCCCCATCATTATCTTCGTTGTTTATCATTATTATCATTATCACATTTTTATCTTAAGTATGTGCAGTACTCCTTGATAAAATTGATAAGGCTTATGTTGAAGATAAAGAATGCTATAGTTATGGTGAATGTTATTATTGTTGTTATTGAATGTTAAAAATGTTATGTTGAATGTTATTATTGTTATTATTGAATGTTAAAAATGTTATGTTGAATGTTATTATTGTTATTATTGAATGTTAAAAATGTTATGTTGAATGTTATTATTGTTATTATTGAATGTTAAAAATGTTATGTTGAATGTTATTATTGTTATTATTGAATGTTAAAAATGTTATGTTGAATGTATTATTGTTATTATTGAATGTTAAAAATGTTATGTTGAATGTGATTATTGTTATTATTGAATGTTAAAAATGTTATGTTGAATGTTATTATTGTTATTATTGAATGTTAAAAATGTTATGTTGAATGTGATTATTGTTATTATTGAATGTTAAAAATGTTATGTTGAATGTTATTATTGTTATTATTGAATGTTAAAAAATGTTATGTTGATGTGTTATTTATGTTGTTATTGAATGTTATTATTGTTATTATTGAATGTTAAAAATGTTATGTTGAATGTTATTATTGTTATTATTGAATGTTAAAAATGTTATGTTGAATGTTATTATTGTTATTATTGAATGTTAAAAATGTTATGTTGAATGAAGCAGTCGGAATTTCAAGATAATAATGATAATGATAACTTTAAAGACGACACTAATGTGGATGGTTGTGTCAATGGTTATTTATTTTGTTTGTATAGTGCTTTCCGTTGATGTTGCGTCACTTTATGAGAAGGCGGTTTAAATTATTTGATAAAACGGACCTAAACAAATTATATTTTAAAAACACAAGAAAGAACCAAAAAA